CATTCCTGCGTGAGTGTGCGATCTGTGTAAGTTTAGACGATGAACTTCACGAGCGAGTGAGCGTGGATGGATGTATGAGATGTCAAAGTGTGATTGCTACACTAATACGTATGAAACTACGGATTAGATATTTAACGGACCATCAAAAAAATATCAGTGAAAACAAAAACAGGGTACACTGAGTATATTTTGAGTACAGGTAATATAAAATAAATAAAAAAATAGGTAAATAAGCGACCGAGAAAGATTACGTATTGCTCGGTGAAGCGGGTGGCGGGGTCACTGCCCTTGCGTGATGCATGAGACAATTTTGCAAAACTTGACTATAAATTAGCCAGAACATTGAACAGAATAATTTTTAAAATATTTTTAGATGATTTAGCATTATTTCCATGATTAATTTCTTGCGACAATGCAAATCAACACACTGTATCATACTCGTATTGTTTAATGTTTTCAACGCAAAATAACAAGAGAATATACCGTTTTAAGGCAATTTTCGATTGTCTCAACTTACGGTTATGGCATTTCGGAGAAGCAGTGAAGCTAATAAGATAATTCCTGTTAAAATCATGTTAATAAACATTTGGTAGGATTATTATTTGAACAGTTGTAATTTCTAAATATAAAAATTGAAGATATTGGAGGAAAAGTTTTCTCCAAAACTACTTAAATAAAATTGACACACGGAAATAATCATCCCGCGTTTAGAACTTTAAAACGCGTCACTCGAAACGTCACACCTGAAAGGGTTCCGGGACACTGCGGCAGGTGCGCATTGTCATCGACGGAATCGTTCGACGGTGGGTACTCACGGCGGTGCTGGAGGAGAAGGTGTGCGAGCGGTTGGCGAGGCCGGCCAGCCCGTAGCCGGGCCGCGGCGCGGCGCGCAGCGACGACACCACTGCGCATGCGCAAGGACACGGCACTTCACTGGCCGCCCTCCGCCCCTCCGCCCCTCCGCCCGCCCTACGCGCTCCAAAGCCCTCCGACGCTAACTATTGCCGTTGTCCGCTCGCCGGTCGCCGACCGCCGCCACTCGGCGGGGCAGTCCGCGCTACAGAGAACGCGCGGCCGCGTGGGGACGCGCCTATACTCACGTTGTAGTGGTGCGGCAGCGAAGCCGGCAGCGTGGACGAGCGCAGGCCGTAGCCGGGCCGCGGCGCCGCGTGCATCACTGGCAACGCCACAACACACGTCACACTACCGCTACCACAATACTGTTCGCTTCGCGACGCAATCGACGCGCGTCCGAGTACACTGCTTGACTGGACTTACGCTTCGCCGCCTTCCTTAAGCCGGGTTTTCACTATGCTAGTAGTGCTCTCGGACCGAGTGCACCCGTACGGGCTAGATCGTATACGAGTCCGCTCGAATTTCGGTTTACACCTTACGAGTTTACCGGCGCTCAAGTAGCACGTTTCGCCTTGCACAATTAAGATACGAGATCTACCGTTGCGAGATATAGGAGTTGTAGCAGATACTATGTTCAAAGTCAAAGTCAAAAATTATTTATTCCATACGTAAAATAAATTTACACTTGAAAACGTTACATTCCACTTTTTCTTAGTTGGCGCCATTTTGTTTCTGTAAAATGATGCGAGTATACTCATAAAAATAGAACCGCGTCCAAATAGTAATCCGAGTGGACTCGGTCCTAGCGCACTCGTATAGCGAAAACCCGGCTTTAATTTTCACACAATCAATTGCGTCGCGGTTGCGGCTCTCGGCTTCCAAGACAAAACACAAGACAAAACTGCCGGCGAGCAGTACAATGGACAAGGTTGCTTTATGTCAACTTGTTACCCTTTCATACTCCTCGCCTGCCGAATGCCGATAGCCCTACAATTTGCTTACAGGCTTAACATGAGCATAAATACAGAATTATTTATTCTCTGAACTGTGGCGCATATTCTCTATAATGAAGTCAGTACGAGAAGAGAGCACAGTCGTCATGCACACAAATGTCAAACGAAGTCAATTTGTCGAACCTCGCAGGCACGACACCCACATTTTGTATCCTTTAACAGATCTTCCTTGAAGAATATCTCTGTTCCTTAAAATGCTTTCCGAGCAGTGGGCAGGATGTTTATCGTGGCTTTTCTTTCAGTTTTTCATATTGTTTTACTTGTGTACTCACCGAACTAGTCACAAGGCATGGTGTGCGTGGTTATATCATTTACCGCCATCAACTTTATACATATTACGAAATTGTCATAAAAACACAGTGTAATATTCTTTTACTGCCAATTTAACTTTCCCGCTTTGGGGTACTGACGAAAGTCAGTATGAGTTTAATTTACTTCTTCCATACAATTACACGGCATTACAGTAATTTAACAAAGCTCCGCGAAATCCATAAAAAGGTATTCATAACACGGGGCAAGTAAGTGTCGCGCCCCCTTGGCTTTCACGCTTATTTTACAATAAGAACCAGTCAACTGAACCTAGAAACATCACGAGACAATGATTGTCCTATGCATAACATAGCACTACCACAATAAACTTACTTCCATCAAACGCTAGAAAACTACCATTTTGGTTTGGCGCGTAAACAGACAGACGGCCTAATAGTGAAATGCGCTGTCGTGTAAAGAAAATTGTATCATTTTGCATTGTGCAACAACATACGCAGAAACCACAAATTAGAAAGCTGAAATAGTACAGCGCCAACAAATGACTTTGACAAACTGAACTCATCGGTAATTAAATATGTAATTTTTCATTCCATTATAGCAAAGCTCAAGTTAAAGTGGTTGTTTTGAAGTGAAACAATTGACGACACCCGTCAATTGTTTCGAATTCGGGCTGGCCAATCGGAGCGCAGTTGTCCCCGTAATGATTTGGCAGAATAGTTTTCAAAACAAACTAAATGACATTTCGTCTCCATTTATGGTTATATTCTCGATGTGCAACAAGAACACCGAAATATCAATAACACACACACACACACTTTTTATTTATACACTTTATTTTTTAATTGAATTGACAAAAGTCAAGAACCGTACAAAAAGTCTACGACGCGGAACGAATAACCGACTCTCGTGGAATATCGCTTGGACCAGTGGACCGTTCTTATCGAATTTCAATCTAAGTATCAAGTTTGACGTGCCCTCGACCCTGTATCACTACTACTTCTGTGAGCTTAGCATGAGCCTGTAAGATTTTCCATAGAAAATTGACATTTCGAAGAAGAGATTACTTTTGTCTTTAGGCTCATGCTAAGCCTGCTGGTGAAATTGCTAAAAAAAGATATACTAATTCTTCCATCACTTTAGCTCCATAATCGGTAGAAAAAAGAATGTATTTTCTACGCGTGCGAATTTTGTTTATCGCCCCTCATGTTAAGCCTGCTGACACACACGTAGGTGAGTTTATTTTGATTGCGGAAATCGTATAACATAAGTAAGCTAAGGCAACAAAAAAATCAATTATCATATAATCTATAAAAAATAGATAAAAAAATACAATTTTTAAGTTTAGTTAATGTCACGACGTAATGTTTGACCACCGTGATGTTCAATTATCTTTGTGAAATCACACCACTAGTTTGTTATAATTATTAATACATTTTTGTTACGAAATTACATTTGTATTAATAATTTATTAGATAAATATCATATAAATAAATTTTATCCTTCACCATAAAACGAGCCAAGTGTAAAATGTGTAAAAATGGTAGCCAATAAGTGCGTTAGTAGCAAATAGTGACACGATGATTCTCCAACAAAAAGACAAAGCGAAAACATTCAGCCGGAAAGCGCCCGCTTAATGCATTAAACTATTCATCACAATGTAAGAGGCACAATTTGACAGCCGAGGAAGACGATAGTATCTAACATTGAATGCAATCAATGAAACGGTATACTAACAATTATTAACTTTATGGGATTTTAAAAAACTACTTAATTTTAGTGAAGCATTCTATTATAATATGGTAGAAAACAATTTCAAGTATTATTTTCGCACGAATACCAAAATAAAATGTAATTTTGCGTTAGTTCGAAACACTTTAAAAATGGTTACGTCCGCAATTTTTTTTGTAAGTAATTGTGTTGTAACCAATTAATCGCCGAATTTCAATTCAATTCAATCCAAGTCAATTCAATTTCACTAAAAAAATATTGACTGTTTGATTTCGATTGAGATGTTAACATTGATATTATGATTTAAATTCAAATAATTATTATAAATATAGGTGATACTAGCTGAACTGCTGATTTCGGCTCATCTTCCGATAAAAGTCTTTTGTTTTTGTTTTGCCTCAGATTTTTCTATTTAACTACAGGTTGCCCTTGTGAACTCTGATAATGTAGTACTACACTTCAACAACAAAGTGTCAAAAGGTGCCTCTTATTTTGTGATGACATACGTGACACGAAAGCGATACAATAATGTGGCAATTCGACAACTCCACGATTGATTCAATTATTTATTATTGAAAATTTGAATTTAACTAACTGCAGAGAGCAAAAGTATTTTTACTTCCGCATTTCTTGATCAAAGGAAAAAATATTGTGTTGAAGGCAGGGCATTCGGAAAATATAAGAGAACAACCCCACAATGAGCATTAGTGCCGACGACGGCGGCAAATTCACCAGCGAAATTCACAGAGTTGTTTCCGGCACACGATAGCCGGCAGCGAATGCTCTTGCAGGGTCGCGCCTTTCGAAAGCATTCTGTACGTGCAGAAGAAGCGATGAACACAAGCCGGCTCTTGAAGCATCTCACCTGAGAGGTTATTCGGCCGCGAAGCAACGCGTGGCGCTGCGACTCTCACCGTTCCGGTTTTCGAAAATTTCAAGTTGAAAGCACTTAGCACCCGACTTTCGCGCGGCAGCGGGCCTCCACGTTGCCAGAACGAGACAACAATCGTAGCTGACCGGGATCGTATCGAACTCCAGCTCGAGGTCTTCATATTTCCGTCTCGATCTGCCAACGTGTCGGCTGCAACGCGAGTGGCGCTCGACGTCGCCTACAAAGTCGCGCGACTAGCGCTCCGGCGGTTGTGACGTACGAAAATTATGAATACGGTATTGAATATCATATTTTAACGTCGAGACCGGTGTCTCGACGTTAAAATATGATGTTTTGAAACACTGGCTAATTTTACATGTACATTTTGACAGGAGTGTACGAATCGAACGGTACAATAGTTAGCATCGAGCGGGGTGTAGCGATACGGAACGGTAAAACATATCGGCCGTAGACGTCACGGCGTCGGGAAGGATGGACGCGAAGCGAGGAGGACCGTCTCGTCCCCTCGGTCCGTCGCCCGGTCCACCCGTCCCGCGGAGGCGATGAGATGGCGGGCGAGTTGCGGGGCGGCGGAGGGACCGGCACGAAAGAACGAGACAACAATGCCGTTCTCTCGTTCTTTCGTATCAATAGTCTCTCGGGAACGGGGGTCTCGAGGCGACTAAATAGCTGGTGACGTCGTCACCGGATACGTTTCGAAATGGAAACATTCGACGTTTTGCAATGAATTGTTCAACGCGCGGTTAGATTCCACGGCAATGCGAGCAACCCGAACAGTTAGCGGCGGCGGAGTCAGGCTCTCTAGCAACACGAGCACCAGTGTTAGTTCTACAGGGAAACGGAACCTTCGGGCGCGCCGTCGGCTCGCGAACGCACCGTGGTAGCTGGGCACGGGCGCGGGCGCGGCGTCGGCGGGCGCGTCGCGCGCGCGGTCCAGGCTGCGCGACGGCGACGCGCCCAGCGGCGAGGGGTAGCGCAGGCGGTGCGGCAGCTCGCGGGCCGCCGACGGCGTGCGGCTGGCGCTGCGCGGGTCCAGGTGCTGGCGCCGCCACTGCTGCAGCTTCTCGCGCTCCTGCACCTCCTTGAGGAACACGCGCGCCATGCCCGCGCCCATCTTGGCCAGCTCGCGCTCCTCGCGCTGCAGGCGCGCGTCGGCGCCGTTGACGCGCGCGGCCTCGTCGTCGTCGCTGTCCACGCCCGCGTACGAGTCCGACCAGCGCCGGCGCCGCTCGGGGTCGCTGTAGGGGTACGGCGGCGCGGGGAAGTCGTCGCGCTCGATCTTGGGCTGCGTCCCGGGCGGCGGCTTGTAGGCCGCGGGGTAGTGCGACAGCTCGATCGGCTCCTGCGCACGCGTGCCGGGTGAGCGGCCGGCGGGCGGGGCGGTTGGCGCGGGGCCCCGACTCACCTCGTTGTTCATGCCGGGCGACTTGGGCCGCGGCGTCTCGGCGCGCATGGAGTCCACCAGCGCGCGCATGCCCGGCCGCGACGACGCCTTGCTGCCGGCGCGCGACGACGCGCGCGTGGACGACGCCGCCGCTGTAAAGGTTTGGGTCCAAGTCGGCGTCAAGCCTCGTAAGTGGCGAATTGTGAATACCGACCGAAATTTACTACCTATAGAAGACATTGCCCTTAAATTCATTAGAGACTACGAACGCACCTGCCAAGAACGGCTAGTTTATTTTTATTCTTCGTATTAATATTATGGCTATCACTATGACTCAATTTTACAATGTTAATCTGTTTAAACTTTTTCTCTCAAAGACACTCTGGGGACCGGATTGTAAATTGCCCTAACCGCACTTTTCTGCAGGACAAAAATTCTATTAATATCGTCGACAGTGCCCCAAAGCAAAACGCCGTATGTCATTAAACTGTGAAAGTAACTGAAGTAAACCAATCTAGCTGTTCCGACGTCTGAACATTTTCGTACATTTTTTATTGCGACACTGCAGAGCTGAACCGTTTTCATAACTCATTTACATGTAGACGCCATTGCAATTTAGCATTTAAGGTTATACCTAAAAATTCAACTGTATCCACAAAATTCACGATTTCAGTTTCTAACTATAATGTTTGTGTCCGTCCGTCTGGCATTAGGTAATGTAAATTTCACACAATTTGTTTTTTCTTTCATTAAAGAGCGGATTATTAACTGCAAACCAATTTACTACTTTAGATATAGCATTGTTCACATAGTCATAAGAACATTGGCGCCTTTTAACTTTAAATAATAACAGTCATCAGCAAACAATACTATCTCACGTTCCAAACCCTCGACGAGGCTAGGTAAGTCATTAATTATATTATACTAAAAACAAAAATGATCGGAATGAATGAAAATTGAACCTTGAGGGACGTCCGTGACATGGACTCTCTGTACCCTCCCACACCAATACGATTTAAGAACATCAAAGTCACGGCCCGTCACACCATAATGGTGAAGTTTCCTGACTAGACTGTCATGGTGCACAGACTCAAAAGCCTTGGAAAGGCCACAGAATACACCAATAGCATCATGTGAGTCTTCCCGTGCATCAAATATATGTTTTATTAACTTCACACCGAATTGTTTAGATGATATTAAATTGTTAACATAAAAATGTACACACGTTTGATTTAGAACAATTTTTTCCAATATTTTACTGAAAGTTAGTAGTATTGAAATAGGCCTGAAATTGGTGGGGTCTGAATTACTGCCAGATTTAATAATTGGGATAACTCTACTTCGCTTCGTGAGGTCAGGAGACACACTATGATCAACACGTTTGTTAAAAAACATAAGTTAAAGAAACAAACTCACAGGGCGGGCGGTGGAAGTGCGGGCTGGGCGGCGCCTTGTCGTAGGGCTGCAGCGGGCGGCGCAGGTACGACGGCTCCGACGTCAGGTACGAGTACGTGGTGATGCGGTTGGGCGAGCACGCGCCCAGGTCGCGGTACTCGCGCAGCGTCAGCCCCGGCGACACGCAGCGGTAGCCGTACTGCAACACGTCGCGGGTCACTCGGGAGGGCGAGGCTGCCGCGGCGCGGCGGCGGTCGGGCCGCCGTACTTGCAATTTGATAGCGCATGCACCGTTCGAAAGCACGATTAAAAGGCGTCAAAGCGACTTCGAGACGATGACACCGGCCGGCGGCGGTTCAGAACTGCCGACTCGGCGGAGCGCGTCTCCGCCTCCGAACGTCACCAGGACCCGCCGACCGGGATCATCGTTGCGGAGCCGGCGAAGGCGGGGGTGCGACGGACCTTCCTGGTGAGGCTACTGTAGGGGCTGCAGTAGGAGCCGTTGGCGCTGGGCGTGCGCGACCGCAGCGAGAACTGCAACACGCCGCACGTCAGCCACCCACGCCCGCGCGCGGAGCCCTCGCTCTGATCCTCGGCCGCGGCGCGAGCAAGCGTATTCGCAAATCATAAAATAAGAGCGAGCGGTCCGCGCGTGCGTGACGTCAACACCGAAGAAAACTAAAAACTTAAATGAAATTAATAAAGAACACAACCGAAGGGGTCGAAGTGAAGAAAACAAAAGTCGCAGTCGCGTTCGTGCGACGGCGGCCGCGTCCGACCGGCCTCGCGCCGGCCCGAGGCGGCGGTCGACGTCGGACGCCGAAGGAAAGGTGCAGCACCAGGGAGGCAACTGTGCGGAGGAGTCCACAAACGGCATGCGGCGCGGGGCCGTACCTGCAGCTCGGACGAGGCGCGGTCGGCGGCGTCGTGCGGCGACAGCGGCTCGTGCGGCGAGTGCGGCGCCGGCCCGCAGCGCGGGTGCCAGATGGCCGCGCCCTGCAGGAACATCTCCTCGCCGTCGCCGAACGGGTCGCCGCACTTGGAGCAGCGCGCGCACGTGGGGTGGAAGTGGTGGTGGTCGCCGGCCTGCAGCACCTTGCCGGCGATGTAGCGCTGGCAGTAGGCGCAGCGCACGCCGAACAGCCGCTGGTAGTCGCGCTCGCAGTACGGCGTGCCGCCGCGGCCCATGTACTCGCCCTGCAGCACCTGCCCGCACTCGCCGCACGCGAAGCACCACGTGTGCCACTGCCTGCAACAGCGCGCCGCGACTTGCCGCTTGCCCCCGCCCGCGCCGGGCGCCCCCCGCCACTCACCTGTCCAGGGCGACCAGCGCCTGTCCCTCCGACAGCTCTTGTCCGCAGCCCGCGCATTCTGGAAACGGACGCGACGTAATGAGACTCGCGCTCGATCGAGGGCCGGGGCCGGGTAGGCCTCGTCGTGTACCGTTTTGGTCGACGGGCCGTCCGTCGTGCTGCGTGTCGTTATGATTGTTCTGCACGTGGTTGTCGGTCCGGGCGTTGTGGGCGGGCCTGGGGGCGGGGGCGGGCGTTCTAACGGCGGGGGGCGAGGTCGCCGCGCGCGCCGTCTGCCGCTGCGGCCCGGCCGCGATGCAGTTCGAGCACACCACCTCCGCGCCCGTGTACGTTACCTTCTCGCCCGACGGAAACGCGCGTCTGCAACATTTTTAATGCACTCGCTTGTGGCTGAGGGCCTCGCCACAGAGCGAAGGAAGCGGCTACACGTACTTGCATCTCGCGCAGGTGAAGCACTTCTGGTGATAGGTGTTGCCTAGTGCCGCTACGACTTCGCCCTCCACGTACTGCCCGCACGCCGCGCAGCGCGTGCCGAACGCGCGCTGGTAGTCCTGCAATCGACAACGTAACGCTATTAGTGCATTAATTTCGCAATTTTAAAAGCTACGCGAACAGGGCGGCCGCTGTCTACACAGTGCTCGGTGCACGCCCGGCGGTACATTTAGCGAGACAAGGTAAATGAACATTTCCAGATTTCGAGTTCGAGTACAAAAGTAATATGGCACGGTCTGACTTTAAGTGGCCTAGCATTTTGGACGCGAGAACCTATTGTTGACGACAGCACGCACTTATTTGTGCAAATAAATGAACTGCGCTGAACTGGTTCTAAAATTGGTTCTAGTGTGGTTTTCATGGTACAGGCATTTTCCAGTCTCAGACCACCACACCAAATGTTGATGCTGTCTGTGACACGTTATTATTATTATGTTTGTAATGGGCGTGTGTACGCACTGTACGCGCAGTACCTGTGGGCAATAGTAGTGATTGTCCTTGGCGAAGAAGCCGCCCTTAGCGAGAGAGGCGGCGCAGGTGCGGCACGTGAAACAAGCCGTGTGGAAATACTTCTCGGATACACGCAACACCTCCCCGCTGCACTTGCCGCCGCACCCCGCACACATCACCTTGCCTGCAAAACACCATCATAACACATCAGACGTTGCTACATTGCCCAAAGTACTGTTCCAAGCATATCGTGTGATATGAAAATCTATAAAGATAAAAGATAAGATAAAGATAAATTTATTTCAATATTACTTAATCTAATACAATTATAATGAAAACAATGTAATTGAAGATAAAATATTAAAATAAACAGTAATAAACAAAAAAAAAATCTAAATTATATAAAATAATCATGGTAAAATTAAACATTTTAATCTTAGTGCCTAACAGTGCAATTGCGATGCCTAAACTAAGTACATGTGTACCTGTATTTTAGGCATAAATGTCATATTCTGAGTCTATAAACGTCACTCGTCACATCGGCTCCTTTATACGAAAAGCTCGTATTCATTCATAACGGCTCTTGTAGAGATGAACACAGCGTCATTTTCCATAAAAGGTGCGCTAGCGCTAGTTAGCTAGTTTTTAATAGGGTATTAACGAATAAAACAAAGTATTTTTTTTTATTATGATCATATATGTGCGGTAAAATAAAAAAACATACTTTGTGTGTTTCCTGTTAAAAGATATGGTTGTAAAATTATTCGGACACAAAATCTCGTAATTAATGTCCCAAAATATTTAACAATTTACGCAAACTTTTCTAGACACGTTTTCTTTAGACGAAAAACCATGACCATATAAATATAAATATAAATATAAATCATGGCATTGGACCCGTTAATCTGCGGCCCACGCAAGCAGAGAAAAACGCCTAACCCAATTTGTTTCGTCAAATGTAGCACCGTCCTACGGTTTTGTTGGAGGGCGATAGTAATAAATTTACATTAGGCGGGGTCAATTGGTGCGCCGGTGCACCCGCTTCATGCCTGCGCCTGAGCATCACACGTCAATAAATTATTGTGTCGGGGTGGCATGAGTAAACACCGTAACAACTGCCACATTCGTTAGTGTGTTAGCGGTTCGTCATTGCGATCAGGATTCTACCAATCAAATATTAATTCTAATTTTAAATATACTGAATAAATTTGAATTAAACCGGTGAGCAATCTTTCAACGTTGGGTGCGATCTGCTGCTCAGCTGCATACTCACTTAATTAGATCTAACATCTCTATGATCCAGTGCGCAAGGAATGTGACCTCGCCCGCGCTACTTATATGGTCAATTGTATTCGACGAGCGAGCACGCGACTGTCTTTCAGAGCAGCAGCGTCCTTAGACGTGAACTAGCACAGGTATTTTTGTGGACATTACAGATGGACGAGGTCACTGGTCATTGTTTTAAAAGCTGTACCCCTTAGGCGGAAACAGTACTTACAGCTCACCAGAGGCAAGCGAAGGCAAGCGAAGAGGCACTTGCAATAAATAGTGCGCAATGTGATCCCTGAGAGCATCGCACGGCAGGAGCCGCGACATCGCCGGCGCCGTCGCTGTCATGGCCCGGTAGAAACGAATGTAAGTAGAGCAATCGATTTTGTCACCACTGTATGCTACAGTACAAATTATTAATGTGGCTAATGCATAGGTACGACGATCACAATACGAATAAAAAAGTATGATCATAACCGGATATTCAAATCAAAACAGTATTGCATCCAGACTGTAAAGCGTTGTAGGCACGTGCCGCGTGTATGCAATTAGTCAATTATATTTGCTTCGCCGCGTCTTAGACTGCATCGCCAGCAAAGAGTAGCTGCAACATCTGCGGTCAACTGACTGTACTACCTACCGAGCATGCACCATATATTATGCATCTATTAAACGTAGTAGCGGCAGTTTCGATGAGCTTACAACCAGAACATTTCTTGCGACACGTTACATTTTAACAGAATTAGAATTAGTAGTATTAGTAGGTCTTTCAGAACTACGACGTTCCATGGACGGCGTCATCGCAAAGCGATCGCGGAGGGAATGCGACCAAATATAGCGCAGACTAGTTGGCGCCGCGCCAAGCCACGTCGCCACTATCGCCGCGTCGCTTCTGGAGGACCGCGCGCTTCCGCGCCACGCCAACCACCAACCTCTTACCGCGCCGGGAACGTCCGTCCGGTATTTGTTTCGGCAACTCTATCAATCGTCCACTAATTAAACGCAAACCTGCAAGAGTTTCAACCGTCAACTTCATCCTTCGTTATTTAAGTTCCATCAGGAGGGGTATAACTATGGATCAATGGCGAGGTGTAAAAATAAAGCCGTAAAAAGTAAAGCCGGCCCAAAAAAAAAAAAAACTTGTTTTGCCGTTTACTCGTCACTTATTACAGTACTCAAGATACCAGTAGGCACCCTTTATTTCACTGATCAAGAGTATTATACACTTAAATTTTTTTTAGTTACCATTTATTTAGTAAATTACTTTAAAAACAAACTTTCGTATCGCGGCATTGAAAGCTAGTGATACCATAGCCATTTTAATATTTTACACGAACACCTATGTTTTTTTTTCGTTGTCCGATAAAATAAACCATCCAAACGTTACCATTTTCGTAACACTATTTATAGTTTAACTTTTAACAAAATGCTAATTAACTATGTTATTATACAAAATGACATAACCCGATGGTTTTTCGAGTTTTCGGCCGCTATTATTAGGTCTGATTCTACTATGGTTTTACAGCGGACTTTTGCGAATGTGTTGATTTCTTTGAATTCATATGAACGCGTCTGTTAAACGAATGAAATAGAAGCCGGGATCCAACCAGCTAGCGTGGTGACCATGCACGTGCAGTTATTGGTTTATTATTGAATATTTTGAAAATTTGAATATGTTTTTAAGGGGTGGAGTAATGCGCACTGTCTAGTATTGTCTTTTGATAATACGTGGAAAATAGTAGGCAAGCCGGTGGGAATCGAGTTATATGAATGCCTCGCCACCGCTGTGTATGCCACAGTCCATAGCACAGCTCACCGCGAGGGCCCCTCCTGAATCATCAGCAAATAACAGCATAACAACGAGACAACAATGCTTGGAAATGCCGTGCTACATATAATTACAAATGGTGTGCATTGTTGTATTGCGTTACACAACACAGACGAGAAGTCAAAAAACATCAAACACTTTACTCGTTAATTGTTCGAGTTTAGTGAACATTATGGGCAAGCGTCCTTGTATGTCATATGCGAATAGAATGTTGTATTCCCTCGAGGCTTGTGAGTTCTGAATGCAACACCGATGTATAATTTCCCAGCGGATTTTGTAGGTAACATTAATACATTGAAAGGTACTTATAAAATCATAGCATATCATCAACGCCTTCAGCGCAATGACGCTATAGTGACTGAACGGCCGTTTTCACATAATACAAAGTGTAATAAAAATAAATTTCAAACAGGTTCCTGAAAAAAAAAAACACAATGTAATTTTCAGACCGAAACGTCTTATAACTTTCTGTGAAAAGTTTTTTTAGTTCAGCGAAGTAAAGTTTCAAAGCGTCGTCTCTCATATGACACTTCGTATATTTACATCTGCTTTGTTAATTCGTTCATGTGTTCAAACAATAACAAATCCGTCCGGACGACGCCGAGGCTTATCGTTCAGTCGATCTCCGATAGACCTTTAATTAGATTCAAGTAATTGCTTACATACCTATGTGCACATATTGCATTGCTTGCATGCATTGTTTCGTATAAATTATCACCAATAATTTAGTGTACTAAGTACAGAACAGACTGGTAAAAGACATGACGAAGAGCTAAATAAATAGGACGCTTAAAGGCATCATTGCTTTTGTTATCACAATGAAAACCTGTAGTCGTGTCAAGATGGAATTTATAATGTTAAAAGTGGGTACTTCCTGAAGCGTGAGTTGCTACAATGACTCGACTCGACTTCGCTGGCTCAGCGACCCGAAGTGGACCGTGGCCTCTGACACTAAGAAGCGCCACTCTTCTCTCTCTGGGCCGCTTGTTGCCAATCGGCTATTGAAGTTCACACAGGTCCTTGTGGACTTGGTCGATCCAGGGATATCTAAGACGTCCAATCGGCTGCTCCAGATATGCTCTCTTGACTGCACGATCATCACCCATCCTCTCGACGTAACCAAAACTACGAAGTCGGGCTGATTTGGTCTCTTCCATGATGTTAACCTCGTTTACCAGATCCTCGATCTCTAGATTTTTCCTTATCCGCCAGGTTCCATCTTCTTCCCAAGTTGGTTGCGGAATCTTCCTAAAGATTTTCCTCTCTACCACTAAGAGCATGTTTTCCTCCTTCAACGTCAGCATCCAGGCTTCGCATCCATACATCAAGATTGGTCTAATGACTGTCTTAGAGACCCGAAATGTACTCTAACTAATTAGCTTGGACACCAGGATATGGTGAAGGGTTGCTGAGCGCCTCTGTGAGTTTTGAATACGGATGTCGATTTCTTCATGCCTCTGCTTTGTATCAGTCACTGTGCATGAAAGATACTTAAATTTATCCACTCTTCTATAGGTAGTTTCATTCACGACCAAATTTTTTTACGTGTCCTCGTGTCTTTGTACTTATCGCGCATATGGAAATACTCCCTCTTTCCTCGGCTTATTCTAAGACCTACCCTTCACTGCTTCTTTTTCAAGAGTTCTAGTCATGGCCTGAATCTCCTCAGCACATTGTCCGAGTATCACCAGGTCATCGACGTAGTATATTATTTGATGTTTGCCGTTAAACTCCACTCTACTGTATATAATTTAAAATTTAACACTTTTATAATTTACACATAATTGAAAACTTTTCGAAGGGCGTGTTCGAGTGTCATATTAAACTGCATAGGCACCAGTGCGTCTCCTTGTTTGAGGCCCATGGTCACTGCAAATTCTTTACTACGGTTATTTCCTACTCTGACCCTAACTTTACTTACGAGTTGCAGCTTTGCTTAGTCCTACTAATTTATCAGTTATTTTAAAAGTTTTAAGTATCTGGAACAGGACGTATTAAAAACGCGTGAATTTGCGCATATTCCCATTTCTTTTCCATTAGTAGTTTGAGTAGGAAGATTGAGTCTATAGTGCTACGATTGCGGCGAA